TACTAAAGAACTTTTACTTTTGGTCGATTTGGGCTCCCCCCTGGACAAAAGCTGTACTGTTTACCTAAAGGAAGACAGCATTTCTCATGAGGACCAGTGCATAGCATGGTAGAATCCAGACCTGCCGGTCACCTGCAGTTAGATTGAACAACATTTCTATTCCCTGTGGCTGTGAGAGATGAGGTAATAAATCTGTGGTGAGACTATGTCAGATTACCATGTTGAAAATAAGTAACCTTTAATTCTTATATAGTATTCCTGCACAGCCCTGTCCCCTACCTCACATGAGTTTAGAGCATTCAAACAGGTAAATATGACACATACTGTATTCACAGTAAACAAAGGTATAGACCCCAGCAGGAAGGAGTGGCATTGCCTGAATATCTGTCATGATGTTTCAAAGTTCTGACCCAAAAAATGCAGAAAACTGAACAGAGAGACCAGGTAAAAGGTTTAGCAGGTTTTATTGAAGAAGTAAACAGGGGAAGAAGCGTTGCTCAGAACACTGCTCAACCAGAACTGCAAAGTGAGGGGAAGACCCAGCGGTTAGTTCAGGCTCAGTGGGGAATTTGACTCGTGAAACTTGGAGAAGAGATTTTGGTTGCCGACTCACGTTTCCAGTGAAGTTGTTGTATCCCTGACTCCAGTCTGTGTGCCGTGGTTCCAGTGCTGGTCTGATTCGATGAAGGGCGGAACAGGGTTTACCCAGAATGTTGTTGATAGTTGGAGAACGGAGATACTGACTGCCACTCTGATTTCCTGCGGTACTTGAACGGGTCGTTGTGGAGTTCTCAGTGTGAAGCTCAAACGATCTCTTGAGGAAAGTGGATCCAAACCTACTGTTTGAATCCCAGCTCAGTTTGAAGCTCAGTTTATCCTTCCAGGGAGAGAAGGTCCGAGAAATCCAGTTAGCAGGACAACTTCCTGCCAAGAGGCAAAGACAGACAAAGTTAAACTCAGGTTGACAAAAACTCAGGTCCCGTCCACACGAAGCCGAACCCTGGCCTAAACGCACAAAGTTTTCACCAAACCAGCCTCTCATCCA